CTACACTAAGTGATAAACTAATCACATTATCTGGGTTAATACAGAGCAATCAGATGTTAGCCTAGACTAGTGTTTCTCAACCTCAGCAGCTTTAAGATGGGTGGACTTCAACATGCTGGCTGGGGAATTCTGGGAGTTGAAGTCCACCCATCTTAAAGCTGCTGAGGTTGAGGAACCCTGACTTAGTGTACTGTGCAAATCTAGGAAATTGGGTTAATTAAATCCATGGGTCAGTGTGTCTTGCAAAGTCAAATCTTTGGTAGTTGTAGAATGGCTAAATCTGAAGAAATCAGATAAGGAAACTTTTCAAACATAACCTCATTTCATACCCAATCAAGCTCTTGCAAAATGAGCAGTAGAAGGGAATTGTAAAATAGTGGATATATGAAAGCCTAATGTTAGGCATGCCTACAAGGATCTAAGTCTCACAAAGTTTAATGGGACTTCAAATTTTATCCCAAGGAAGAAGAATGTTAAAAAGAAAAATTACATGCCACCAAGGTGATGTTGACTCTTCGTGACAACATGTATAGAATAATTTGTATTGGCATAGTGGTTAAGGCATCAGGCTAGAAAAGTTGTGGAGATTGTGAGTTCTAATCCTGCCTTAGGCACAAAGCCAGCTGGGTGACCTTGGGCCAGTCACTCTCTCTCAGGCCTAGGAAGAAGACAAGGGCAAACCACTTCCAAAAAACCTTGCCAAGAAAATTGCAGGGATTTGTCCAGGCCGTTGCCAGGAGTCAAAAACTGACTTGAAGGCACCCCCAAAAAAATTTAAAAAGAAATAGGATTGCAGCCTAATTTGTACCTCTTAATTCACCAGGATCTGTTTCTCAGTTGACCTCATTGGAGTTTCAGCTTCTCACTTCCAGTGTTGACAGCATATCCTTAAATATCACAAGTTTATGATGGTCCATAAAAACAATCAACTCCACAGGGGAACTGATTGAAAAATAAATCCTCTATGTAGTTTGTTTACTAAATTGTAAAAAAGTGTAGTTAGAATGTGTAAAGATGGGAAACTTAGACTTAAGATTTATCACTCTATATGTTTTGGATTATACTGTATAGTGACCTAGACTTCATATCGGTATTTAAAATGGATATTAGAGCACCAGGCGAAGAGCAGTGGGAAAGCAATTCACCTTAATAGAAAATATCATATTGAAGAAATATTTTCCTGAAAACAAAACATACTAAGTATCATATAGAGAAACATTGGGTTTTTTTATTATTATTACATGCCACCAAGGTGATGTTGACTCTTCGTGACAACATGTATAGAATAATTTGTTCCTAACCTGGTCTTTCAGGTCTTCCAACATTGACAGAGAAACATACCACATAGTAAAAATTCCAGTTCCTCTTTAAATGTAGATAGCATACAAATATTCCTCTAATCCAGATTACTATAAAGCTATATAATTTATCCCTAAAATATTATTATTATTTATTAAATTTTTCAACCACCCATCTCCCCCCAATGGGGGAACTCTGGGTGACTCACAACAAACATTAAAAACATAAATATATATAAATACATAAAACATCAGTTAAAAGCACTTCAAAAAAAGGGGGAAGGAGAGTCCAAGAAAATGAAAAATCTGAGGCTGAAGACAGGAG